CCATTTTCAGTCAGAGACAGATCAGGACACACATCCTGCATGGATAAAGCCACAATGTTGGAAAATTCTTAGATCTTAAATAGTTCTTCTTAAATAGCTGGAAAAAGACGTTAGTTTGATTTTTATACAAAATTATGAATTTGAAAGTATGAATTTCTTTGCATTGATATTTATCCTTTTTTTTCTGAAAGTTTTGCTTGGGAAGACACGTTCCTGACACCTTCATCTGGCTTTTTCTCTGTTGATTATAAAATCTTCCAGAAAACTGCTAATTGTATATTTTCTTTCATTATCTGCTACGTTTGTGAGCATGTTGCTGGCATAGGATTTAACATTTTTATTTTCCAAATACAATTAATTTGGTCAGCACATTGTATTATTAACTCCCCCCTGCATTTTAGAAAATTTTCTAACTTTTAAGATTCTGAAAGTCTTCATTTTCCTCCACTCAGGTCAACACATTGTATATTTGGAGCTTTCATGTGACATGTATATTGTCCATAACAGTTTGTGTGGGTGTGTGTGCAGAGGCAGGGGGAGGACTGCCACAGGTTGGCTCATCTTGCCATAAATGTAGGAGCAGCACTTTCACGCTTGTCAACAACACCTAAATATACCTACAAACACACACAGACAACTTTTCTTTCTGTCACGATGTTAAAAAAAATTCCGCAGCTCTGCTCCTCTGCAGTCTCAGCACACACACACACACACACACACACACATGCACTCATAGACGCGTCACACTCCACCAGATATTTATAGAAGTAAAATTGGATTCCTCCTCGTTCCTCTCCAAAACTCTTTAAGCACACTGGAAAACTCAACGTGACAAGTTCCAGCTCCATGTTGGAGGCAGGGAAAGCCTTACTTACAGACTCAAAGCAGCCGTGCAAGACAAACATATTTAAGCTAACGCAGTCAACAACACCGATGGAGGTCACGTTTGAGGTGTAGTGGATCCCACAAACTACTGTTCTGATTTGGACATTTAGAGCTGCTCAGCCTGTTGATCGAAGAGGAAATGTGCAGTAAATGCTGGAAAAAATATTCTGTCCTCCGCGGGAAACATTTGGTAAAACAGATTATTCTTATCATTGTTGGCCCATAAGCCATATTTGTATCCATAATGCCCTCATGAAAAAATCTCCACCCCCTGATATTTTTTTTATGAGTTGTTCAACAATCAAATCACATTCTGTGATTATTCTGTGGAACGATATTATTTATGACCATGGTATCAATTATTTTACATGGAATCTGCGAGTCCTCCTGCGGCCCCCCTCCCGGTGAGTCCTATTTTCTGAGTGAATCACCTCTGAGAATGATGTTTAAGCACATTGTTGTTGACATCGCAATTTCACCAACTGCTCCAACACTGTCACTTGAAGTGCAGATTGGACGTGAAAAGCCCTCCTTGCTGTTTGTATTTAATATCACGCTGACAGCTGTATCATTCTTGCACACTGTAATCAAATTATGACAGCGTGGCAAATGTTCCCTTGTGACATTTTCTATTATAAAATGCATACGCCCGATGTCAAACAATGTGTGGGTGGTATCACTCAGTAGCAAATGGGATTGTAAGTGCCACCGACTGACATTATGTGTATTTGCATTAGATGATAATTGCACTTCCATACTGATGGTATGCATAGGTTTGTGTCATGTTGAATTATTGTTGTTTTAAAAATAATGTAAAACCAAAAAAAAAAAGAGAAAAAGCTTATTGTCTTTTAGCTGCTATTTGACACTTCTGTTAGTGGACTGTTACACCTGCAGCAGGTGCATTTTGAATTATAGATATGGAGGTTTTATACTTATCTTTAGGGAGAAAAAAAACAAGAGCACAAAATTCTATTAGACGGATGGTTTGGTTCCTCTGTCAGGTCTTTAGACCTCAGAACACACGTGCATGTTTAACTGTTTGAAGGAGTGTGCATGTGCATATGCACACAGGCCAGAAGGCCTGAGATTGGTACCCTTTGCTTTGATTTTACACTCCCGTTTCCATCTTGCATCGGCTATTTTCCTCTTTTCAACTCATCGATCATCACCTTTTTATTTTCCTTTGATTGCTCACCTCCTTCATTGTTAATGCTACCATGTTAACACTGTTTTTTTAATATGTTATTTTGTTCTTTTGCTGATCCTACTTACTCTCCTCCTCTAATTCAGTGTGGTTTTCTTTCCTCTTGTGTTGCGGCCTGTAAGGAAATCTTTGCTGTCCTTTTATTGGAACGTCGGCCCTTCACTTGCCCCTCCTCAGCTGGTTGGATAATGCTAATAAAATTGGAATATCACCTGTCCTTATCAGTGTATCAGTGTGAAAAGAGAGAAAATGGAAGAAAAGCAGAACAAAGTCAGGTAGTTTTATTGTGGTCATGCTTTCACATCCCGTTTTGACCACCCTCTTTTTCTTTTCTACCACAAACATCCTGGAAATAGCATGGAGGCCCACTATTTCCAGGATGTTTGTTATAGAACAGAGCGAGCGGGCGGTAAAAGGGGGTGGACTCACAGGAGAGGTGTGTAATGTGACTCACTGGCATCGGTCCAGACCAGAGACGTGTTATCGTAAGCTGTTCACATTACTCCACACTGCTCCACTGTACATTTGCGGTAATGTAAAACATCTCACATCTTCCCAACCCTCTCTCCCTCGGCCGCGGGACCCTCTCCTCTCTGCTTCCTCTGGGCAGTTGTTGTTCAGTGTGTGGGTGTGCGTCTCTGTGTGGGAGTTAGAGGAGCGTGCCAAAGCCGAGATCAGGTTTGGAAATTGATTTGAATGAGTGTTTTGGACAGCTGATAGCTATAAAAGATTTTCTCCTTTCATTTCCCAGGGAGTTTCTGCTTTGAAGTTGGCTGGTAGTCAGCGGAGCTTTGAAGCTCTTCGAGGGCCACAGTTTTATTCTGTGGGAGTTCGTATTTGTCGTGAGCTAATGGATGTATACACATGACTTTATGTTTGACCTTTTTAAAGTTGAACTTGTCTGGAATTTTGGCTCAGGCAGCATCGATAATCTAACTCAGACTATTGCTTTTTTTCACACAGCTTACAAAGCATAATAGAATTACAAATCATTATATCAGATTGAAGTAAATCAGGTCAAATCAGCATTTGCATTTAAGCAGATCTTTTTTCTTATCTGCGGCAAAATCCCAATTGCACAGGTGTGTGGCAAGTGCACCTTTACCGTCTTTAGATCTTAACATATTGGACTTTAACAAGCCAGCAACCTTCAAATTGCCCTTTGGGGATAAATATCTCTGAAATGTTATTTTGCATTTCATCGGCTGCCTCTTTGCGATCTTCCAATCCACCAAACCGTACAGCAATCTAATCCCCGAGAGGGAAGATAGTCTCTACCTCGGATGCATGGGTGGGGGGGTCATCGGGTCAAGTACGGCTAATTTATTCACTCAGTCAGATTTCCTCTGACTCGTGGATGGCAGATGGAGGGACCTGATATGATATCACCCATCTGAATCACCCAGGGGAGAAAGAGGAGGCAGAGGTGGGGAAGGGAGGGAGAGATGTAGGGATGAGAGGACAAGAGATTGACAGGAAAGATGTAAAAAAAAGAAGAGGGCACAGATAGTCAAAATTGGGGAATTAAAAGTGGTTAGATGGAGAGATAGGGTAACATAGCCTCCAAGAGTGTGGAGCGTGTTCGTCCCAGCGAGTCAGCGGTTGAGCTCAGCATTAAGCCACACAGGATCTTATCTGGTGTGTGTGTGTGTGTGTGTGTGTGTGTGTGTGTGTGTGTGTGTGTGTCCTTATCTTAAGACAAGTGGTTCTGGTCCAATAATATCCTGGGAGATGGTAAGAATAAGCGGCTTAGACCAAGATCTGAGATGACGGAATGAAGGAGAATTGATAGCACTAGGGAGATGAGAAAAGGTTGATGGAGATGGAGGGAAGAGGAGGAAGAGATGGGCCGATAAGAACGAATGAGGACAAGACAGGGACATTTGGAAAGAGATGAGACGTTAAGGTCTGTAAAGATGCGCTGTGGAAAGAGTCTGGAGAGTTTTTTTTTTTCAAAGAGGAAGGGAAAGTGAGAGAAGTTTGGATCTTGTGAGAGCCCGTGGCTTTTTTTTCAGAGGACAGGGATTTGCAGGATTTGATCAACAGTGTCAAGTTGAGGACACTTTTTCCCAAGGGGGTTCAAATTTGTAGCTTCAACAACAGTCTGTGTGAACACGTACAGACAGAAGGAAAAAGCATTGATCTTTGTCTGTTTGAAAGGCTTGACACCTCCTGAAAAGTATCTATCAAAAAGCTGTTTGGTCGGAGAGTGACAAATTTGATAAATGATGTGTACTTTTCTATGATCTTTTATCTCTGGGCCAAAGTTTGTTTAAAGTGTTGACTGAATGGTTTTTAAATGGTTTTTCCAGATCTTCAAATTAGAGAAAAGAATTACCCCTGAATTCTAAACAATCTGGATCTAATGATTTTTTTCTTTTGTATGCCCTCAGTTTGGTGACCGAAGACGAGGAGTCAGCTTTGATGTCCTACAGATGTCCACCCTCTCTGGACCTTTCGGCCTCAGCAACACAACCGGCTGTCCCAAACCAAGGAAGGTTTTACCAGTTATTGCCAAGGAGGGCAAACTACATCAACACAGTTTATAGTGTTTATCATCAGTCCTGAACTGGTCCAAGTTGGACTGAACAGCTGAAGATACCCAGTGGCGTTCACCAGGCATGGAATGACATAAACTGAACTATGCTCATGTGAATTTCACTTGTGAAGTGCTAATTATTTTAGCTCCACTGAAGAGAATCTAACTCAATCAAGCTAGCCTGAACTTTTGTAGACTGCTTTCTGCCAAATACACTCTTCCTACAAAGGAAAGCTGAATCTTTCAAATCAACGATCATTTCCCTGCACTTCCCCAGCCCACTTCTTAGGGTGTCCCAAAGGCGACCACAGTGGAGGAATAATCTCCTCCTCCTTCTTAATTGATAAAGGCCCTTTCACCTATCCAGACATGGACCTCCACCGGGCAGCCTTCAAGATGGAGAGCTCCTCCTATCTGCCTAATCCTCTGGCATCCCCAGCCCTCATGGTTCTGGCGTCAACCGCTGAAGCTTCCCGCGACGCTTCGATTCCTTGCCAGCAGCCACGACCATTCGGCGTCCCAGTCTCCGTTGAAAAAGACGTCCATTTGCCGTTTAACAATGGTTCCTACACTTTCGCATCCATGTACCACCGCCAAGGTGCAGTCCCACCTGGATTCCCCAACAGGGACTTTCCTCCATCCCTGCTCCATCTCCATCACCAGTTTGCTCCGCCGAATCTCGACTGTTCGCCCATCAGCATGCTGAATCACAGCGGCGTTGGTGCCTTCAGGCCGTTCGCCTCGCCTCCGGACGATCGGGACGGGGCACCGGGCGGATACCAGTCTGCTTTCACCCCAGCCAAGCGCCTGAAGGGCTGCCTGGACGCAGAGGCGTCCCCCCACCTGCGCTACTCTGACGCCGAGGGGAAAGAGTATGACTTTGGGGGCTCACAGATCCCTACCGGAGGCTCACCCAGCAGCGCCTTGAAAGCGGTTGAGGACAGCGGGAAAAAGATCTTTGCTGTTTCAGGCCTCCTGTCTGATCGAGAGACTTCCTCCAGCCCAGAGGACCGCATCGAGCGCTGTGAGTACCCATTCATATCTGTTCATATCTGTTTTGTTGTTGCTCTCAGAGAAACTGCAACTACACAGAATTTTACTTTCAAAACATTGACAAACAGTGAAGTCTTGAATGAAACAACAGCACTACCACACCGGATCATTCAAATGTTTAAGAGATATGACAATGGCCTTATTCCTACACTATGGACTGCAATAGTTACCAGAATGCAAACATTAATTGCAATGGGGGATTTTAGGATAGTGTATATATGCCCTCTGCCATTTTGATCAAATTATAGAATTACAGATTTAGAGTTCTTCCACATCACATGTCTGTGTTTATACCCTTGAAGACTTTGAAACCTCGTCCTACAAATGTCTACTGGAATTTCCTGGGCTGTCAGCAAATTTTTTGTCCCTTCTTAGCATGTAACACCGTTTGTACTGGTTTTTGTTTTCATTTTTCTTTTGTCCAAAAAACAGTTTAGTTGTGAAATCCTAATTGCAACTTTTTCTCTGTGAGAGATGGAGAAAACGTTGATTGGCTTTAGACACAGTTCTGTAGTGTACAGTCTTCCCGTCTGTCCAACATCCCAAGAATTCCAAAGTTCCATTTCACAATAACTCTAAAATTCACACCATCCTTTACAGTAAAGAAATCATAGCGATAGACTAATATTACTGTGCTGACTTTGAGTTTTTGAGACCTATCTGTTGCCTTAGATGATACTGATTGTCTGGTAGTTGGAGTTTCTTCATGGTCAGTTCCAGTGCTAGGTTGGCCTGGTATAGCATTGATGGGAGAATGTTGCGCTGAGCTCCCTGGCTGGTGGATGCAGAGTGTTTAGCAACCCTTTGTCACTGGTCCTTGACCTTTATTTGGCCAATAAAAGAAGGAAAGGGCATTGAAGCTGTTCTTGAGTCCTTTGTGGAATAATGTAATAATAATGCTTTTGGAGTTTTCCATATATACATGTTTTAAAAAAATGTTGGATAGCAAAGTGTGCTAATATAACAACGGATTCAGTCTGATTTCTGAACACAATGTCTCACAGATTATTGTAGTCTCTCTGAGTCTATATATATACATCCCACAATACATTGCTTGTTGATTATAACCTGTAAAGGGAAACATTTTTTAAAAAGTTCTGTACAGTTTTTGCACATTAGAATTGGATCCAATTGGATCCATTTTTCTTTGGGAAGCTTATAAGTCAAAGCAAGCCATCTACATCTAAGTCTTATCTTTCCACTTACAGAAAAACTTGCTGTACTTTACAAAGGACACAAATGTTCACACACCCACATCAAGCCAACCAATAAACAACCCTATCTATGTTCGCTTGTCATGGTCTCTCCTGGCTCCCACTTTCCCAGTTTCACAAGCCCACAAGCTCCGCTGCTCACATTAGCATTCATCAGTGGAAGGATGCCATTTGGCCCCCACGCACTGGGAATCTGATTAGTGTGTGAGCATGCGTGTGTGTGTGTGTGTGTGTGAGGGACTGGTTCAGAGACGGGCCGTGCTCTTTGCCATCAGTATTCATCATGGCTCCGCGCTGGCAGCCGCGTTGCCAAAAGATTTAACCACATACCCCAAAGCCTGGCATGCCCTGTTTGTGTGTGTTCAACGGGGGGGGGGGGGGGGGGGGAGAGGGGTTGTAAAAGCTCAAAGCACAAATACACAAACACTCCAACAGACACACAAACAGCTTTTTAGCATGACCACCGACATGTCCTACACATGTCAACAAGCTGCATCGGATCTCAGCGACTAATTAGGAGAACGGCAGACAGAGCCTGGACAATAAGTCCATTCTGCCCACATATTTTCTCTTATTGAGTTTTTTGGTTTTGAACATTTTCATAAAAATTTAGTGTAAAGTCTTTCTGCTTTTCACTCTTTCTCCTTTTCATTTCTTGCTCCTTTCCGTTTACGTGTGTGTGTGTGTGTGTGTGTGTGTTTGAATGATGCCTCCTTGATGGAAGACATGAGAGACAGAGGCGACGACCTGAGACTGATCCGATAAAAAGACCGCTGTAGGATAAAAGGAGAGAGTGAGAAGGAGAGGGATGAAGAAAGGGAATGCAGCGGAGGAAATTGGGAAAATGACACCCACTGGTTGGCAGCGTGGGGAAGAGGGGAAGGAGGAGAGAGATATCACAAAACCTTAATGGGAATAAGGTTAAAAGACGAGAACCAGAAAAAAGAGAAGAGAATTTATTGCACATTTAACTTAAAGACAACGTTATTTATGTCCGCCCTGACATTCAGTTTTGCGGTAACACTGAGACAGGGATGCTGGCATAGTGCCTTGCTCAAAAGATCTGCAGCAATTCGAAGGCTGAGAGTCTGTCTGCTTTGTGTCATTATCACATATTCGTGTGTGCTGTAAAACTAAGTCCAGAAACAGAAAAGAAGATGGGCAGAAGGCGATGGTGCTGTCTTTTGGAACAGTTTAATCTGTATCTAATCAGGTTAAATCTTGGCACAAGTTGCCTGCACCTCCACAGTGGGCTTCTAATGCAATTGGATGAGCAGAGGCACTGCTTACAGCAAAGAATTATGGGTTCTCCTTCACTGGCTTTAGCTATCCAGGGGAGGTGTAAAGAACAAACAACTCTTTGGTACAGTCCCATGAGAACAGTGCTGTTGCTGCTACACACACGCACACACACACACACACACACTGGCTAACTAGAAGCTTTTGAACTGCTTCACACAATAGCCAGTTTCTGAATCTCTCACAGGAAGGAGCTTTATTATGCTTGGGATCATACAGTCATCACAGACTGTGAAACCGAATTGTTATTGAGCTAAACAAAATGAGTAAAAGTATTTAATATCTTCAGGAAAGGTAATGTTTGAACATGTACAATGCTTAGCTAACAATTACATGTCAGTGCAGCAATGACAGTAAATATCAGGGAACTTTGAAACTGTGTATGCCATTAAATCTGGAGCTTATCTGTACTGATATTATTTACAATCTGTGTTGCGGTTGTGCTTGTTCATATTTGTTTGGCACCGTCACAGACTGGCGTCCGGCCCAAGGTGTTCCCACCTCTGGCCCGATGTCAGCCGGGATAGGTCCCCACCCCCTGTCCACCACCCCCCCCAACCCCACAAGGAATAAGCAGTATAGCAAATTGATGGATGAATGGTTTCTGGAATATTCTTAGTTTTACAGATATGTGTCAGTCCGAACTTCTCATCAAGCATTCACACCCTTCGGAGGAGTCACAACATTTAGGATATTTTAAATTTAACTATTTTATCTATTGTGTTTAACGAGGCTTTGGAAAAGGGGATGTCCTAGATAAGCTCCTTTTGCAGTGAGAAAAATATATTTGAGAATATATCAGAATATCAGGGCTTTAGCACCTGTTTTATGGCTTCATTCTATCAATGTAATCAATATATCTTAATATTTACTTGTTTATTCATCCCAAATTTATGAATGTAAAGGAGGCCCTTGCTTGACTTTCTTCACACATACAGGATAGCCGTTAAACTACCTAAAAACCCTTTCCACTTTTCACCTTCCTGCAAGGGATTCGGTAGAGTTTGCTGCCACTCCAAGCAACTGTGGCCTTCTCAATGCTAAGCCCCCTTAAATCCCCCTACCGCACCAGCAGGCACGTTGGCTGTTAACTAAACCCACTAACCTGTCAGCCGCTAAACCTGTACATAAAGGCCCCATCATGCCTTAAGAGGACTATGCATGTCATATTATTTTAGAAGCCATTACCATTCCCTTTATTCACATTACGAGGCTTTAGCATAACAACAGAGGAATTTAGAGCTGCGGAGGGTTTTGTAAGCACAAACATAGGTGAAAGAGAGAATGAAATCATGAAATGATGTGTGATAGGAATTAATGGGAGTGTTGACAAATGAAATAATCCAGCATTGCGCTGCACTTGTTTGTTTTCTGAGGGGATTAGATGGACTTGGATTACATGTCAATGTGAAGTTCTGTGTGTGTTTGCTCTCCACCATCAGCACGTTCCGTCGTCTCTGTCTTCTCCTGCGTCCCTCCCATCCCTCCTCCCTCCTACATCTCCTCTGTCTTTTCTTCAGCCTTCCCTCTCTTCTGCCCTCCATCTCCTCTTATATGCGTGTTCATGGTATTACAGTTTACTCGACTTCCTGGCTAATTTGCGTCTGGTTCCATTGTGTTTCTTCTGCAAAACTAAATCAAATACATTTTGGAGAAATAAAATTGAAATCCTGTCCCATTCAAATTTCTTCCAGGATAAAATTGTTCTACTTTGCTACCAGTCATTATTAATGTTAGTTTGAAAAGTTGATGTTTGGTTCAGAAGTTGATGCGTCTTTTATTTTTACTTTTTAATACAAGCCAAAAATGTTGTTTCTAACAAATATTATGAAGCAAAACTGGCATTGATATTTTTTTATTTTTTTAGCAAACATTTGAGGTTAAAAAAAGGTTGTCGTGTCTTTTTTGGGAGTTTTAAAAATGGTTTTGCAGGATATTAACATCTACATGATTTCTGGTTCCATTATATCACATGAAAAATCAAGGCGGCGGGTAAAAAAAACAACACATCTCATTTCCCGGTTTCCCCACAGTGTGACGCTTTTAGGTTTTTGGATACACAGAAGTTACCCGTTCTCTTCTGAGACAGGGCTGCTCTTATGCACCAGGTCACCAAATGAGAAAATAAACGCAGGAAAAAAGGAACCAAAATGTAACTTAGATGGCAAATGTCCAATTGAGGGAAAATACAGAAATGTGTTGGCAAGAAAAGAAAGAAAACACAAATTCTCAGAGCAAGTAAGGAAAAGAGAGGATGAGATAAAAGATAAAAGCCAGAAGCAACAAAAAAAAAAGGTTGTGGGAAGGAAGGATGGGGGGATAGCGGGTGGATGGTGAGATGTTGAGCTGAAATGCAGATCCCATCTGCCTGCCTCAGCTAAAAGTTAAAATTCCTAAGAAGCCACTCCATAGAAAGCTAGTCACCGGTAGCATCTTTTCATATCAATGCCTCTTAGAGAAGCACACGTTTTTATCCAAGATGAAGAAATTAGGGCTGAAAGTGTGATTTCTTATTTCAAATCAGGTCTGTTTTATTTCAGTATTCTCAGTGACGTGAAACAGTTTGAACTTTCAACCGAGTGCATCACGAGCAGCTGTTAAAACACACAGCGAGAGGCCTTCTTCTCATCCCTCTCTTCTCCCGTCCTCTGTTCTGAAGCAGAGCAAATGTCACACGTGTTGTTTCTTCCCGGGGCCGAGTCGCACAAACTGTTCTGCTAAAGAAAAAGGAAAGAAAAAAAGAACGGGGAAGGAAAATAAACTGGAACGATATAGTTGAGTTCTCACAAATGGAGGACGCCTGGGAGAGATACTGATGTTGATGGCTGAAAAATGTTGAGGTTTCTCTTCTTTTTCGTGTCCATCTCTCATTCTAAACGGGAATGATTGTGAGATTTCTGCACAACTCAAATTCACAAAAAGGAAATGATTATCCGTTATTTTGAAAGTGCCTTTTTCTTTCTTTGTAAGATATTCTATATCATCATCATCTGAAATATTGATGAAAACTAAGATTTACAAACAAAAATAAAAAAGTAATCCATGTTTTTGTTATAATTCAAAAGGCGGCAAAAAAAGATCAACATTTCTGAGTAATATGTACATTATTCAAATTTGTAATGATATAGTGTGGGTATTGTGATTGTTTAAGCTTTTGGTTTCGATTATTGGACAGCCCTATCATTGTCATTTCTCCCAATCCTTTTGTGGCTTTCCTGTGGCACGCAAAGAGTTAAAAACCAGTCAAGGAGACAGAAACCCTCATCCCTCCCTTTCCCCCCCAAAAACCCCCCCCCCCCCCCCCCCCCCCCCCCCCCTCCCTCCATCTCTGCTGTCACGGTCTAGTGGCAGGGTTAAGTTAAGTAAGAGTGTTCTAATAATTAGGACTGGGACTCGCCTGCCTGCTCCCCAGTGTGTGTGTGTGTCTTCCTGTCAGTGCTTAGCCAGATGTTAAAAGGCTTGTCCCTCTCATGTTGCCTCCCTGTCAGTCTCCACAGTGTGCCACACACACCGTGGCGCACGCACACACTCGCGCACACACACTGCCTACGAGGATATTGGAGGCTGCCCCACTTATGGTGGCTTTGTTTACCCCCAAGTGTGTGCCCTTCTGACCTTCTGGCAGCTCCCCCAGGGAGCAAAGTGTGCGATTTTTATGTCAGAACCAGCCCCCTCCTAGCATCTGATCCACGCTGGCTTCACGCTGGGCAGTGGCCACATTTAGCTGTTTATTGAGTTAAGAAAAAAACAATTCAAAGTAACTGTAAAGATTATTATGCTTTTATCTAAAATAATAGATTATTATTTCTTTGAGGGCTCGCACCCTTTTTCTCTCACTGGGTGGTAACTGGAAGGAAAACTGTGTGTCTGAGTGTGTTTGTACGAGCGTGTGTGTGCCACTTGGTGTGAGTCTTACGGTCATTCTTGCGACGCCGCACAGATCAAGGATTAGTCGCTTCCTGTTGAGCCTTTTGTTAGGCCAGCCACACCATTTGGACACAGATCGCATGGTGTGTTTGTTGTGTGTGCGCAGAGGGAAGGGGTTACACAAATGAGCCACTGGAAATTGTGCACGGCACATGAGGGAGATGGGATGAGATGTGAGGATTCCCCCCGCAGTGCCTGGCAAAAACTAGTCTCCGGGCTGGATATCCTTTTATTTTTTTCTCGTTTGTGGAATTTTCCCGAAGCATATTGAAACCAGGTATTCTTAAGACAAGTCGTTTTTTTTGTTCCTGCGCACACACACTTGGGCTCATAACATCCCGAGTTCCGGAATTCCACTTTGTTCCCCCGGTGATGTCAGCTTCGGCCAATAAAAACCCTGTGTTAAAACTCCACTGAGCCTCATACAACTGCAGCACACCTGGCAACACAACACACATTGGGCTTTAATATGTGTACACACACACACACACATACGCACATTGGCAGAGGCTCTCACAAGGTCGAGGCGCGCCTCGGCCCTGAACTTACCTCCGCGGCGCGCTCTCTTTCACATCTCGCCACTTGGCTGAACTCTTCAGAGAAGATGCGGCATTGCTTTAACGGCTCAGAGCTCATTGAAATTTTAGCATAAAAATGCAAACGCGCTTTCGGGGGCCAGCGTTTGGTGAAGGAGATCAATGAGCTTTCCGAGGCAACGGCTAAAACAGGTGGATTCTTCTCTTAGAAGCCAAGAAAGAGCCACTGTAATAATTCATGCTCTTTCCAAGAGCCCCCTCCGTGCAACAGCAGCAGAGAAGTGCGTTTCAGACACACACCTCCGAAATTCAAACGTGTTCAAAGATTCTTCATCAGTCTGTCCTCTCTTTATCTTTCCTTTCTCATCCCCCATCCCGCTCTCCATCCTTTCTCCCCCCCCTCCCCTCCTTTCTCCTCTGCTCAGTAATCTAATCTGCAGCCAGTTTGTGGATGCAGTCTACTGTGACACCCCCACCCCCACCCCTCTCACTTTCACACACACAAATAGCAGGCCCCGCTTTCACACACACGGATAGAGGGCCCGTTTCCAAAAGGCCCACTTACTTGGCAGAGGGGTGACCACACGACAACCCCCACCCCCCCCAATCCTTTCTGTCTTGGTCACAGCCTCTTTAATATTGAATTATTCATCAAATCTGATTGGATCCTGCTGATGGTGGCCATGATGCGAGCGAGCGGTTTGTGTTTTTTAGGTGAGGAGGGGTTGTCGTGGGTTTGAGGGCGCCAGCTCGACCGAAAAATACGGGCACCTCACAAAGCTGAACCAACCGGGGTTGGAACGCAAACCTTTCTCTTTTTTTGTATTTTCTTCTTCGAGAGAGATGGTATACCACATCTGCACCTGTAGATTTTTGGAAGTAAAAAAAAAAATTCAATCTTTAAAAATTTCTATTTCACACTTGCATGTTTTGTTTTCATCAGTTATTTTTTTCTTATGTCAGCTCGTTAGGAACTTCTGACTGGATAGGAAGTTTATTTCTTGTGGCCATGTGATCACCTTCTTAATTCTACAAGGTGTTACCCATCCAGGGGGGGGGGGGGGGGGGGGGGGCACAACATAGCAACGGCTGCCAAAAAAAAGAAAAGAGGAAGAAAAAGAAAAAAAAAGGCTCCCAAGTCCCTTGGAAAGGTGAAACAAATCAATAATGGGTGTTTTATATGCATGCAAGAGTGTGTGTGTGTGTGTGAGTATGTGAGTCTGTGTGTGTGTGTGTGTGTGTGTGTGTGTGGGCATCCACATATGATTTGCATCCCCTAAATCTATACCACTCAATATTGGGAGTGCTGCTACAGACTAAGGAGTTTTCTCTTGTTTCATCAGTGAGTACAACTTTTACCCACTTTTCATTTTAGATTCAGAGGAAACGTCACGCATCCGTTTTAAAAAAAGCCGAGTGTGAATATCGATTAGCGTGATGTCACTGAGGGAAACGTTACCTGGGCAGCAGGCGTAATGCTGCGTGATCGGGTTTATCCCGGGGGTTTGCTGCGCCGCAGACTTTGTTAGAGGCATAAACAGTCAATGATCACGGATTTGCCTGCACTTCAGAGAAAGACGGGGATATGGCGGGGGATGAGTGTGCCGGTGTGTGTTTGGTATCTCAAACGCCTCACAAGACACTTCACACTGACCCCGCGGTGCATCTGCATATCCAGGAGGCATTACAGGGAGCCTGTGTGTCCAGGGGTGTGTTGTGTTGAAGTCTCTAAGTGGGACCGAGGCTCATCCTCCATAGTCCAGGTGTCACAGGTCGCACGCCTGGTGAATTTTCAAGTAAAGCGACCAAAAATATGTTTAGCAGCGGTGTTAAAACGCGCTGCCCTTCATCTTTATCCTCCTCATTCACGTCCCCCTCTCCCATCCACCCATTATCTCCCCGCCCCTCCCCTTCTTCTCCCCCCTTTACAGGGTGTGTGTGGAGACCCAGCCCACTGTTCAGCGGATGAATAATTTAGCGGTGTGTGTATCATCTGTTTACCGTGCTAATCCATCTGTCAGCAGGCACCTATCGATTCACGCCTGCCTGGTAATTGTGCATCCGCGCCGCATGCACACACACACACTGCTGAGAATACACAAACCCCACGCATATTACCAGCCGTACGCGCACACATGCTCGTGCGCCCTGTACGATGCGCAGGTTGGCTCATATTTAGATCCTGGAGTTGTCAGCTGGACACTTCATTTTCCCTGAGTGAAACTGGATTTAAGGTCAAGGTTACAGAAACAATCAGGTATTTGACACACTAGCTTTAAATGGTTTTCTTTCAATGATTTCATCAGTTTTCGAGGGTCACATATATATAATATATGTATACTTTTGGTCATTTGTTTTTCTTTTATGTAAAGAAATGTGTATGCTCTCAATAGCTTTACTACAAGCTATAATTAGTGTGATTTATTTTTTACTATAGCATACACAACTCTCAGCCTGTATGAACACAAACACACACACATATACATGTATGTATGCATGTGTTTATGTTTAGAATGGACACCTGCATGTCTCAACTTGTTCAGTTTCATCCCACATACAGATCTGAAACCTATCTTAAGGTTAATTCATGACTTTATTCTGCTTTCACTTGACACTTTTACTTAGAACATAGCGTGCGCTGCACTAACATGTATATCTGATTTAATTCATTATGTTGCATCTTTGAATAAACTCACTTTTGGTTAAATTTAAAAAGTGTCGATCAAAGGGTCCCCCATCAGTTCAGAAAAAATGTAAAATAAACTAGGGAGGGAAAAAATAATCCTGCACAGTTTCTTGATGGTTCAGTTCTAGGTAGAATTTAATTTAGTCCTCCCTGTTTCTAATCCTACACTTTATTGTTGCTATCACCTTTTTCCCCTCCAAAACACCCACAATATAATTTTAATGATCAATTCTCATTATTTAGAAGTGCATTGCTTACATAGCTGGAAAACATAGCATAGATAGTTTTATATGTCAATAGTTTGCAAGGTCTCACTTTGGACATCATTGATTTGCATTTGCTACAGTATGGTCTACAAGTTATAGTGCACCCATTAAATGTTGGTTTAAAGGAGGGGAAAGGTAGTTG